TGATTCAAATGAATTCTTTTTAATGGCTGAGTAATATTCCATGGTGTATATGTACCACAGAATAGGACTGGAAGAGGCAACAGTTTTTTAAAATATTTTTCAGTCACAGACCACTTTAAAAAAAAACAAAAAAAACTGATGAACTGGTAGATATTCTTACTATGAACATGGAATATATGTTCCTACTCAAATTTGCACACATATTATGAATTATTATGTTAGCAACCTGGACTTTCCGAAAGCAGATACTACTGAAATGTGAGAGTTTTATTAGGAATGAGATCTATGAACAACAATGGGGAGAAAGTGGGAGGAAACTGGGGAGTTCAAGGACCACAGTGCAGGTCTGTCTTAGATGAAGGAGACAGGGAAGAATGGAAGGTAGGGTGAAACCATCTCGGACAGTGGTGTAGCTCTAGAAGGGTTTTTCAAGGTTGTTGGGTAGTTCTAATCCCAGAGTTAACCCATCAGAGAAATCCTTCATCTCCCAGGAATAGGCATGTCTCAGTATCCCTGCCCTGCTCATTCTGTGAGAAAATCTACTTTTTTAAAAAATTACTGAAATATAATTGGTTTACATTTGCAGTATTAGTTCCATGTGTACACCATAAAGGTTGAATATTTCTATATTAATAGATTATGCTCCATTTAAAGTTATTACAAAATAATGGCTATCTTTCCCCAAGCTGTGCAATATATCCTTACTGCTTATCTATTGTAAACATAGTTGATGTTTATATATTAACCCCATGTTCCTATCTTGCCCCTCCCCACTTTCCTCTACCCACTAATGTTCACTAGTTTATTTTCTATGAGTCTGTTTCTACTTTGTTATATACAGTCCTGTACTTTATATTTTTGATTCTTCTCCCTCACATTTTGTGTTTTTGATTTCATATCTTACATCTTTATGTTTATCCTTTCATTGTTTATTGTACTTATGGTTGATTTTTAAATTTTTTTCTTTAATTAAAAAAAATACTTACTTTTGGCCGAGCTGAGTCCTCATTGTGGCATGGACTTTTCTCTGCTTTCTCTAGAAACGAGAGAAGCGGGGGCTGCTCTTTGTTGCAATGTGCAGGCTTTAATTGCAGCAGCTCCCCTTGTTGCAGAGCACAGGCTCCAGGGTGTGTGGGCTCAGTAGTTGCAGTCCCCAGGCTCGAGGGCACAGGCTCAATAGCTGTGGTGCACTGGCTTAGTTGCGCCATGGCATTTGGGATATTTCCGGACCGGAGATTGAACCTGTGTCTCCTGCATTGGCAGGCAGATTATTCATCCTTGAGCTACCAGAGAAGCCTCTTCTTTCTTTCTTTCTTTCTTTTTTTTTGCTGTCTAGGTGGGTCATAATTTATTTCTTGTTAATGTGCAAGCATGTTTAAAGGACTTAGTTCCCATTTAATCCTTCCTTAGAAACACTGTTTTTGTTCTCACATGGGAAAACAATTCCAGCATCTTCATTTGCTTTATCTTTGTCCAAAAGACTTTTCCTGATATTGTATCAAGTTCTAAACTTTTTTTTTCAGATAATTAATTTTTTTTTCATTTATTTTTATTAGTTGGAGGCTAGTTACTTTACAATATTGTAGTGGTTTTTGCCATGCATTGACATGAATCAGCAATGGATTTACATGTGTTCCCCATCCTGATCCCCCCTCCCGCCTCCCTCCCCATCCCATCCCTCTGGGTCTTCCCAGTGCACCAGCCCCGAGCACTTGTCTCATGCATCCAACCTGGGCTGGTGATCTGTTTCACCTTTGATAGTATTCTTGTTTCAATGCTATTCTCTCAGAATATCCCACCCTCCCCTTCTCCCACAGAGTCCAAAAGTCTGTTCTGTACATCTGTGTCTCTTTTTCTGTTTTGCATATAGGGTTATCATTACCATCTTCTAAATTCCATATATATGCGTTAGTATACTGTATTGGTCTTTATCTTTCTGGCTTATTTCACTCTGTGTAATGGGCTCCAGTTTCATCCATCTCATTAGAACTGATTCAAATGAATTCTTTTTAATGGCTGAGTAATATTCCATTGTGTATATGAACCATAGCTTCCTTATCCATTCGTCTGCTGATGGGCATCTAGGTTGCTTTCATGTCCTGGCTATTATAAACAGTGCTGCGATGAGCATTGGGGTGCACGTGTCTCTTTCAGATCTGGTTTCCTCGGTGTGTATGCCCAGAAGTGGGATTGCTGGGTCATATGGCAGTTCTATTTCCAGTTTTTTAAGAAATCTCCACACTGTTCTCCATAGTGGCTGTACTAGTTTGCATTCCCACCAACAGTGTAAGAGGGTTCCCTTTTCTCCACACCCTCTCCAGAATTTATTGCTTGTAGACTTTTGGATAGCAGCCATCCTGACTGGTGTGTAATGGTGTCTCATTGTGGTTTTGATTTGTATTTCTCTGATGATGAGTGACGTTGAGCATGTTTTCATGTGTTTGTTAGCCATCTGTATGTCTTCTTTGGAGAAATGTCTGTTTAGTTCTTTGGCCCCTTTTTTGATTGGGTCATTTATTTTTCTGGAATTGAGCTGCAGGAGTTGCTTGTATATTTTTGAGATTAATCCTTTGTCTGTTGCTTCGTTTGCTTATTTTCTCCCAGTCTGAAAGCTGTCTTTTCACCTTGTGTATAGTTTCCTTTGTTGTACAAAAGTTTTTAAGTTTCATTAGGTCTCATTTGTTTATTTTTGCTTCTATTTCCAATATTCTGGGAGGTGGGTCATAGAGGATCCTGCTGTGAGTTATGTCAGAGAGTGTTTTGCCTATGTTCTCCTCTAGGAGTTTTATAGTTTCTGGTCTTACATTTAGACCTTTAATCCATTTTGATTTTATTTTTGTGTATGGTGTTAGAAAGTGTTCTAGTTTTACAAGTGGTTGACCAGTTTTCCCAGCACCACTTGTTAAAGAGGTTGTCTTTTTTCCATTATATGGTCTTGCCTCCTTTGTTGAAAATAAGGTATCCATAGGTACATGGATTTATCTCTGGGCTTTCTATTTTGTTCCATTGATCTATATTTCTGCCTTTGTGCCAGTACCATACTGTCTTGATGACTGTGGCTTTGTAGTAGATTCTGAAGTCAGGCAGGTTGATTCCTCTAGTTCCATTCTTCTTTCTCAAGATTGCTTTGACTATTCGAGGTTTTTTGTATTTCCATACAAATTGTGAAATTATTTGTTCTAGTTCTGTGAAAAATACTGTTGGTAGCTTGATAGGGATTGTATTGAATCTATAGATTGCTTTGGGTAGTATAGTCATTTTGACAATATTGATTCTTCCAATCCATGAACATGGTATATTTCTCCATCTATTTGTGTCCTCTTTGATTTCTTTCATCAGTGTTTTATAGTTTTCTATATATAGGTCTTTCGTTTCCTTAGGTAGATATACTCCTAAGTATATTATTCTTTTTGTTGCAGTGGTGAGTGGTATTGTTTCCTTAATTTATCTTTCTATTTTCTCATTGTTAGTGTATAGGAATGCAAGAGAAGCCCCTTTAATCTTCACACTAGCTTAAGTGGCTAATCCTCAGCCTTTAGTATATATTTGCCTTCCCTTTCTATAGATTCTTGCTATTCATTATAGCCTTTGATTTACCAGTTATAGAAAACTATGTAATATTTCTTTTAGGGTAGGTTTAGACTTGATGAGCTCTTATTTAATTTTTCCTCGTTGGAGAAGTTATTTATCTCCCTCAATTCTAAAACCATATTGCGTACAGTATCCTTGCTTAAATGTTTTCCCACTTAGCTCTGAATATATTATACCACTCCCTTCTGAGCTTCCTGTACTTAGGTATTTGTTTCTTTCTTTACACTTGGGATGTTTTCAGGTACAATTTTATCAATTATGTTTTTCATCATTTTCTCCTTCAGATCTCATTCTGGGACACCTGTAATGCAAATATTGATATGCTTAATGGTATCTGAGAGATCTCTTAAACTATTCTCATATTTTAAATTTTGTTTTCTTTTCACTGTTCTCTTTGTGTAGTTTCCATTATTCTATACTCCAGATCACTTAGGTGTTCTTCTTAATCACTTAGTTTGCTATTAATTCATTCTAGTGTGTTTTTCATTTCAATGATTGTATTTTTCAGTTCTAACTTAAAAAAGAAATTACTAGTTTCTTAAGAGCCTCATTAAAAAATTTTTTTTCCCCAGTGATTTTCTCTTACTCCTTTGAGTCTGGTTCCTCTGGCTTCTGCTTTTACTTAATTTCTCTGTCTTGAAACATTTAGGGGAAACAGTTAACCTGTTGTCATCTTGAAGGCGTGTCCTTATGTTGGAGCATTCCTGGACAGTCTGTGTGTGCTCAGTCACTTTGGCAAGAGAGCTGGATTTGATGGGAACACGTGTACCTTCTTTCCTCGGGGTATGCCCTCAGCCACCACCTTGATAGAAGGTGGGTCTGAAAGGAAGGGGCTAGGGCAGGAGCCGGGTATCAGGCAGGCTTTCTCCTCTGCTCAACGGCTCTCGACACCCTAGTGCCGATGGTGCAATACCGCCAGTTCCTGGAACCTTAAGTCCAGAGGGTTGGGTCTGGACTCGCTGCCCCTTTAAGTTGTGTGTTCCCCCTTCTCCTAGCATCAGCACCCTTGCCGGAAAGGGATGTGGTGCTGCAGCAAGAAGGCTCCGTGCAGGCGCTCTGCTTGTGGTGGGGCAGCAGGCCCGCCCTGCACAGAGGGCCGGGCTGCTTCCGGTCGGCTGCCTGAGCAAGCAACCGTAATGGCCAACCCTGTCCGGCTTTAACTCAGCTTTGGGGGCAGAGCATCCTTTGTCTCTCTCAGCCGTTACTCCCCTCAGCTTCTGCCACCCCCACCAGGATGCTGAGTCAAGCTACAGGGCCCTGGACGGCCTCTCACTGTGCACTGGGGTGTGGGCTGTGGTTGTGTCAGTGTCGGGGATGGGGGCCATTTTCTGACGCGCCGCCTGTGTAAGTACCAGTCGTGGCTGTCTCCTTCCCAGTCGGACACCGCTTTGGGACTAGGTCGCCTCTCTCTACCACAGCACGGCTCTTGCCTTGTTCGTGGCAGCCCTAACTCCAGCGTGGAGCTGTGATGTGAGGTGAGCAGGGCTGGCGTGTTCACTGGCTCTGACTGAGTCACACGCTGGGACAGGAGCTGGAAACCAGGCCACTCCTCCAATGGTTTTCCATCCGCCCTCTCTGCCCCGCTCCAGGAGCAAGCCAGCATACGTGTGCTCCTCACAGGCGAAGTCCAGGCTTTCCACAGTTCTCCTGTGGGTCCCACTGGCCCTCCAAGCGGCCACAGAGGCCCCTTTCTCCTTTGTCAGAACCCAGGAGGAGGGCATTCAATGTGTAGTTCAAGCCGCTCCCTCCCCAGAGCCGGTCATCACCCGGGCATGCTCCCTTTTCCCCCTGAGTCCCCTCCAAGGGGCAGAGGTTCTGACCTGATCACACCTCTTCCCTCCCTACCTGATTCTGTCTGCATATTTCATAAAGTCTTCATTGTATGGGAGTCCTTCCGCCAGTCCCCGGTTTTTAGTGAAAATTCTTCCACATGTGCATATATTTTTTTGATGCATTTATGCGGGTAGGGGAGTTCCAAGTCCTGTTTTGCCATCTTGATCAGTCACTCTTTATTCTCAGTAAGAAAAGAATGCATGTCATGGGGTAGCAGCTGGTGCTATAGGTCCGTTATATTCCCTGCAGCTGCAGATCAGAGAGATACATTCTCGTAGCCCCGGCAAGTTGTGGACCCCAGGATGAAACCTTGGTTTAAGGAAAAGTGGCAGTTGTGATCAGACAGCTGGTTCTTACAAGATGATTATCAAATCGATGTCTCTGATTTAATCTGAAGATAAAGACTTAAAATGAGCTAGAGCCCAGGTATAAGTACTGAAAGGAGTCCAAATCTCGATGTCCTGTGGCCTCTGTCAGTGTTTGGATGACATCTATTTGTTAGTACCTACTGAAGCTAGATATGGCACTGAGCAATTCACATTAATTAATTCACGGTGAGGTATTATGATATTCAACTTCACAGTTTAGAAAACTGAGTAACTGGCCCATTTATCTAGAAACACACATATAACTTTTAAGGCTTTTTTTTTTTTTTTTTTAAACGTATGAGTTTTTTCATATAAATCTCGATATTACCAGTGGCTGCAATCAATAACTTTGAGATCACAATACTTCTGTGTACCTGCTGAGTCACTTCACTTGGGTCCGACTCTGGGGCTCCACGGACTGTAGCCCACCAAGCTGCTCTGTCCATGGGATTCTCTAATATTGGAATGGGTTGCCATTTCCTCCTCTAGGGATCTTCCTGACCCAGGTATTAAACTCGTGTCTCTTACTGCATTCACAAGTGCGTTCTTTACTACTAGCACCACCCGTGGCAGCCCCACAATGCTTTTGGAGAAGAAAATATGGAATTTGAGAAAAAGGTCAGTCTCTTTGTGACAAAGTCCTCTTCCCTGGTCTATGAGAAATTATTTCTGTTTCTTTCCATCTTGCTTTCCAGAAGTGTACTTGAGGGGGAAGAAAAATTCAACCTAACGTTTGAGGAAAATAAGGTGACAAAACCAAAGACTTAAGAAGTATCTTCAATGTAAAAGGGAATTATATGGAAAATTGTATGCTGATGATGGTACCATAAGAACAAGGTTTATTTTCAGCAGGAAGGCTTAGGTTAATTATAAGGAAGAGCGCCTTTTCATGCTTATTAATCAAATGAATTATGTACATACTGAATGTAAATATGTAAAATGAGAAAGAAGATACAAACACGATATGTTATTAATACTTTCATTTCAGAAGGATAGGTCAGAAATAACCCCTTTGTAGTACAGATTTGTAGTACTTTTCAAAGAATGTCTATGTAGTACAGTGACTTTCAAACATCTTTTTATGATTGCATATAATAATAAATACGTTTTGTACCATAACACAATACATATGTACATACAGAAACACAAACATATAGTTCATAACAACCACAGCTAGTTTCTTATCTGTAGTACATTCTGTTTTGTCTCTTTTGTTTTATTCTATTTGTTTTTGTCCTATTCTATTCTGTACTTTCTCATTAAAGAATTCTAGTCATGGTCAACTTAATTGATTTCACTATCTGCTAATGGCTTACAATTTAAAAAACTGAACCAGTCTGTAGTTCAGCCTCTAAAAGACAATTGATTAAATTACAAGAATCATGACACCGTTGAAGAAAGAGGGAGGAGATGAAAAAAAGAGTTTTGTGATATCTTACCTATCGCATACTTATGGAGTAACTATACAATAGACTGATGTTGAAGCTGAAACTCCAGTACTTTTGCCGCCTGATGCAAAGAACTGACTCATTTGAAAAGACCCTGATGCTGGGAAATATTGAAGGTGGGAGGAGAAGGAGGCGACAGAGGATGAGATGGTTGGATGGCATCACAGACTCGATGGGCATGAGTTTGAGTAAACTCTAGGAGTTGGTGATGGACGGGGAGGCCTGGCATGCTGTAGTCCATGGGGTCACAAAGAGTAGGACATGACTGAGCAACTGAACTGACTGACTGACTGATACAGTAGGGATCTCTTTTTTAGGGCAAGAGAAGTGATGACTGATTCTATATGATATAAACAATATCAGATATAAACAATATCAGCTAGAGCAGAGGCCCCCAACCTTTGTGGCCCTAGGGGCTGGTTTTGTGGAAGAAAATTTTTCCACAGTGCAGGAGAGTGGGGTGATTTTCAATAATTCAAGCACATTATATTTGTTGTGATCTTTATTTCTACTATTATTACATCAGCTCTACCTCAGATCATCAGGCATTAGATCCTGGAGGTTGGGGAGCCCTGGTTTAGAGAACAGTTTTCAGTGAATGATGATGTATCACTGATATTCTATTCTTTCTATCCCAGGCATCATACAGAATACTGAGAATTACATGAAGGTAGCCTGGTCTTGCTTGTAAGAGCTGTTGGATACCTGAACACTAAAAATCAGGAAGATGCCTTGAAGATAAAGTAGATCAGCTCTGGGTTAGTTTGTAAGATGACTTGAACCTAAGGCTCAAGGTTTCACAAGTGGTCCATCTTTTCTGACAGATGGACTGGGAAGCTGAACAAGTCAGCCTGGGTCACAGTGATGTAGTGGAATAACATCATTGTCATTGGAATCTAAATCTGTATCCTTTCAGGCTCAGCTGGCTGTTTGTTCAGTGGTTGTTGAGCAAATACTGTGCAATAGAGTCTGCTAAATGCTGAGCATCAAAGAAAAGGAAACACAGTTTGACCTCCAGGAGCCACAGAGGAGATAATGCCCTATGATTGTTTACCTTGCTATGTCTGCCCTACTTCCTCACTCAGAGGCTCTCCCTGGGTTCCTCAAGTCATCTGGCCTTTTGTCTCATGGTTGGGCTTGGCCAAAGTGAGACAGCAGTGGAAGACTGGAAGGTGGGAAGAGAGAGGTCAGGCCTTTTCTACTCCCTCCAGATCTGGCCTATGCTTTCTGGTAATGTGTGTTTCCTCCATAACTACAGTTCTTCTAGGACAACCCCTTTCTATTGCCAAGCTCTCCATCCTACAGTAAAGGTCTTTGCCTTCCTTGCTCTTTCATGTCTTTGGTTGCTGGTGATGTTTCACTGTGACTAATCTCTGTGTCCTCATTATCTGTTTCTGGTTTCATTAACCCTTCCCACATCTTTGCAAATGTATCATTATGTCTCTTGAGCCATTTGAGTACTAGTCTGTGTCTGCTGAAACTCTGATTATTATAAGAGAAGCTTTATATAATATAGGAGAAAAATGGAGGACTGTCAGGAAAGTGGAATTCTGCACTGACATTTTTAGAAAGGTTTTTTTTTGTATATGCAGTGATGGGGTTAGGACTGCCAAGAAAGATTATTTGAGGTAGGTCATTAATAACTGGAATAAGAGTATGTTAGATGAAGACTTAGCCCAAGTCAACCTGACATGACATATTCATTTGGACTTTCACTTTTGTGTCTTTTCCTTTTCGAATCTTTCAATTCAACAAAAATGTTGCCACTTTGGACATGTTCGTGAGCTCACCTCACATTTATTTACTGGTGAAAAATAATGATGTGCCTAAGAGCTTGATGTGATTTTAGGCTGAACACTAGAGTTATGCCTTTGGGGAATATTTTGTTTTTAATATAATGTTCACTTTCTCAGAGTTCTGTGTCTTTAAGGCTCATCCAAACTTCATTAAAGACCGAAAATGAGGGCGTGTGCTAATGTATGTAGGTGATAGACTTTTCTGTATGTTGTTCTAATTGTTTTGTAATTTTTTAGCTGCTCCAACGTTTTTACCTTGATCCCATCTGACAGATTGGCTAATTTAGCACGAAACAGTAGCAAGCAAGATAAAGCTAACTTGTGCACATCTGAGGAAGACATAGACCTGCTGGATGAAACTAAACAAACATGAATCTTTGACCTTCTCCTTTAACTAGCGCTCCAATCCACCGAGCTCATTACAGGGAAATCTGTTAGCATCCTTTACATGTTGGCAGATGACTGGTGCAGAGCACATGCTGTCAGCCCAACAGGAGATCAGGAGAAACCCAGTTCGTGCATGACCCATCACCACTAAATAGCAAATTCCTGCCGTTACTTGCATTACGCAAAACTGCTTGATGTACATTAGAGAGAACCTTTTGAACCCCATACTCATAATTTTTTTTTCTCTTGAATTCCATTTTCTGACTTCTGTGGTGAGATTGCCTTAAACTCATCATAGGTGCTCATAGTCTGGGCAGCTAATGAATATGGATGCTGTTTGTACTAATTTTTATAGCCATATAAAGCTATATTTGGAAGAAATGCCAACTTTTAGCCTCAAAGAAATTTCAGTAAATAATGCCACTTATGTTCTGTTGATTTCAAAGGGGACTTTTAGGTTCTGAAAAAGGAGCCATGTTGTGCCCTTTGCTCCCCTTGTTCTGCTAAAAAGAAAAGGTAAAGAAAAAGTTAATATAGGATTCCTTTTTTTTTTTTTCCTTTCGGGAGACTTAAAAATATGATAAAAATTTTAAAACATGTTTGCAGGCTAAAACAACTGTCCTTATGGTTTATGTAGTGTATTTTTATTTTAGTCAAACATTGATTCTTTTCTGGCAAACCCTCCTGATGCTGGCATCATCTTAGTGTACAAAGAATAATGCACACTTTACAGTACACTCCAATCTGTGGTCCACACAATTGCATAGAGCCTGAAATTAAACAAGTATAGGGCTTCCCTGATAGCTCAGTTGGTAAAGAATCCGCCTGCAATGTGGGAGATCTGGATTCGATCCCTGGGTTGGGAAGATCCCCTGGAGAAGGGAAAGGC